TTTGCCGCAACCTTTAAACTCAGCGGTTTTACCCATGGGCTCAAGTACTTTATGTAATAGTCACGAAATTGCGTGACGTCATCAAAAATTAAAGATGGCGCCTTGTCGCCAGGTCTCGTCCGACCATGCTCGGGTCATACTCGGCTGATAGTCATTATTCCATATAGGGATCTTCGGAACTTATATAAGTGGACAAAGATTGTGTCTAAAAACATGTAAGACAGATACGCAAAATGGGGCAGTACGCATGCGCAGTACCGAATTTCGTGGAAAAACGTTTTTTGAGTTAAAAATAAAGTGTGTTGAACATCTACGGGGGTATACCTTAATCAGTAGAGCGCTCGCTTTGCAAGCGAGAGGTTCAGAGATCAAAACTCTGTACTTCCAAAATTTTTTTCTACTCTGGCAGGACTCGAACCTCGAATCTTTTGATCCATAGTCAAACGCCTTGTCCATTGGGCCACAGAGTCGAGCTTAGAATAATTTAAAATTACCTGGCGCTGGTACTAATGCGTAACGCATTGCGCTACCCATGTTCCCAGCGGCCAAAAAGGGAAAAAATAAAAACGTCTTTTCAACATTGATGTTGAATCAATGTTGAAAAGAAGATCTCGATCAGGATTTGAACCTGAGCTTTGTGTGCCACAAAAAGACGTACTAACCACTACACCATCGAGACAGCCACAAACGCTTGACATAAAATAAAACGTTCAAGCTGACCGGGATTCGAACCCGGGTCACCTGCATGACAGGCAGGAGTACTAAACCACTATACTATCAGTTCTTTCTGAGGATTGGAAAAAGCGTTGGGTTTTATAAGCAACACGTCCCAGTCACTGATTTTTTTATAAAAATGCAAATTCGCTGAGGCAGCAAACATGTGCGGGTTTAATGCACGTGGTAATCTGAGTAAAGGTCAAGACTTTTTATTGATTTGTTAACTCTTAAAAGAGCCGTTTGTTTGCTCTTCAAAAAGAAGAATTAGTAGAATTTGTTTTTTCTACTTAGAAATTGACTGTAGTAACCCCAGGTAAATGGGTAGGCGGTTATTATTTTCCATTTTTCGCCTGGTACTTTTCGGGAGTAATAAATTGCAATGTGATATGCAGGAAAGTCTTCTGTATCAAAGGCAAATTGCTCGGCGACTTCAAAAATGCCGTGTGCGTCTTTCCACCCTTCTGATAGAACCACATCTTCGTTGTCCTTTTCCCATGTGAGTTCCGATAAATTCTTTAACATGTTGACTTAATTAAATCGTAACCAAAATTTAGAGGCTTTTGAATGTTTTGTTTTAAAAACATGCCTCTCGTTGATATGATTTGCTTGTTCTTGCATTAGGAAACTGCCTAACGGTCTCAAAAAGGTGAAGCCATCGTTGAAAATAGTTTTTTTTTTCATCTTAAAGAGTTTTCAAAACAAAAGAGTGAAAGTTGAAAGGAAAGCGAAAAGTTAACTTTTAGCCGCTAACCTCTTAACGTTAAAAGGTCAGCGAAAGGTAATTAACTTTTAGCCGCTGATCTTTTTGGCGAACAAATTAATTAAACTCTAAAGTCGGTAAACCCTCTGTTTACACCACGCCAATAAGCGTGAATCTTGCCAGAAAGCAACGTGCACTGCATAAGTGTGTGCGCATTTGCCAAAGTCACTTTGCTCTGTTCACGATCCTGTTAACACTGAAGACTATTCAAGGTGAAGACTTTGCAAGAATTAGCTCTGCAAGCCGTCCCAAACCCTGGCTTCATGGTGAAAACCTATCTTGTTCTGTGGCATCCGCTTGCAATCAAACTGGAAGCAAGAGACTATGAGGAGAAAAGAACTGTTTTTCGGGAGCAACACAGGAAGCAGTTCAGGTATGTAGTTAGAGAGATGCGATATATTAGTCGTGGTTATACTAGCCCTTTTACCCATGGGTAAATAGCGTTTGCCCACGGGAAAAGACTTTTTTGTGTGTAACCGCTTTTCCCAGACCGAAACTGCCCTAGGGTTATTTTCATGGATACATCAAAGAGAACAAAAGAACTTCCCATGACAGTTCCTGAACTGAAAAGTACGGTTTATCTGCTCCCTGAGGTGGCTTGGCCAATCATAAAGCAGAACGCAGCTACTACAGGAAATTGCGTGAGGCGCTCTGAGGTGACCTCTGAAGCACTTGGCTAATTTCGCGCCTACTTCTAGCACGAGGTAACATGGCAGGGTTTCGTGCATCACTGTGAGTATTTCTTTCTTTATTTATTTTCATGAGTTTGCCCTTCAGACTGCCAGTTACGAAGTTGATTAAATTATAATCTTTCTGTTTATCTGTCTATAGGAACGCTAGTCAAAATGAAGATCCCTATTACAACGGATATTTATTTGCGGCACGAAATCAAATAAGGCCGCAGGGAATCAACAACACCGGTAATACCCTGTATGGTGTTAGCATGGCTCAAAATCAGCCTCCACTGCATTATCCAGCGATGTTAAATCCCTACCCGATTTACCAGAACCCTGTACCCGGTACTAGCAATCACCTTCAGTTTGAACCAGACAGGGACAGCGCTAGTCCAACTCCAAGTGAATCCTCGAACCGAAGCGACGATCGTAACAAGCGCAGTAGCTGGTCGTTGACCGAAGAGAGATGCTTAATTGCGGCTTTTAAGGAGTACTACGATAGACTTAAGTCTACAAAAAGCAGTCAAGCCAAAAAAAAATATGGGAAGATATTTTGAAGCAGTTTCAAAGTATGTGCTTTGACAATGGCGTGGAATCTGAAAAGTCATTAGCGCAGTTAAAGGAGAAGTGGCGGGCGCTCTTGGATAAATACAAAAGCGTATGTGATAACAACAATCGCACGGGAAGGGAACGGAAAACGTTCAAGCACTATGAAGACATCGACGAATTTATGGCTTCATCAGACAAAGTGAATCCAAGATTTGTCAAGGAAACGAAAGCCCACCGACAGGATTGTAGCTCTGATGATACCGACGATATTTTATCGACCGGAAATCAAGATTGCAGTAAGAAACCAGAGAAACGGCCGCCCAGCTCTGCTGGAGGAAATAGTGCGGATGCAGAGACAACTGGAAAAGCTGGGCAAAAGGATGAAAAAGGACCAAAAAAGAAGAAGAAAAGGCTTAGCGGCGATGACATGGAGCTAGCAATCCTTGACATGATGAAGTCATAGCAAGAAGCCATCCAAAGATCCGAAGAGAATGACGAGAGAGTTTTTAAGCTCTCCTCAAATCTCAGGCAGAAGCGCAGCGGCAACACCAAGAATTTGTTGTGTCTGTGTTAGGAAAACTCGGAGACATATTTGCTTCCAAAAAATAGGTTTAACTCAGCGCTTTTATTCCAAAGAAAAAAGGAACTGTTTACATGATTGTTGCAAAACTGCAAAAAGAAATTTTAATTGATCTTGAATAGTATTTTGGACACTAAAATACACAGTGCTGTAAAATGGTTACAACCGCTGTTTCTTAAGTATAATAGACGTTACAGTTGTTTAGCAAACAGAATTTTTATATTTCCTGTAATTATCCCGTGTAAAATTCTACACCATTTTTGATTGATTTTATATTACTATATATATATACATAAGTAGTTAGTAAATGCTGCCATCTCACTCACTCAGATTACATTTTTTTTGTATTCTACCTCATCTCGCAACATCGCTCTCTTGTTCAATCATTTCGCAAAAACTCATTCGTTTCGTTCAATTCTTTCGCTTCGTTCAATTCGTTCGCTTTGCTCACTCATTTCACTCAGTTCAATCATTTCACAAAACTCATTCGTATTGCTACATTCGTTCACAAGTAATCGCTCTCATTGCTCAAAGATGTAGAATACAAAAAAAATGTAATCTGAGTGAGTGAGATGTCAGCATTTACTAACTACTATATAAATAAATAGTGATATTGAATCAGAAAATAAAAAATTGATTTAAAGAAATAAAGAAATAAAAATATTATAGTAAGTCATGTTTCACAAATCAGTAAACGGTTATCAAAACTTTACAGATAATAAAATTCCAGAATTTGCAAGTAATTATAAAAGGGAATATCAATTTATTATAGGAATAAATAAAGAGTTTAAATATATTATAGATAAATTGGATAACCTTAATAATGGATTGTTTGAGAGTAAAACTTCTCATAGAATTAAAAATTTTATGAAAAGATGTTTGAGAGCTCAAGAAAGATGTAAACTTAAGGATATTAGTGATTTGGTTTTTCCAATAGAATATCTTGGTAATATAAATTTTATGAATTCAAATTTTGGTTATTACAAATTACGTTATGATTTTTTTGATGATGATGATGATGATGATGATGATGAAAAACCTTATCCTGGTTTAAAAGAACTTTATGATATTTTTAAAAAAATTTTTAATCAATTAAATTTTGAATGTAGGGATAGTGATGAATATGATAGTGATATAGATAAATTAAAGTTTTCATTTACTGCAAGTGATCTTGAAGATGTTTTAAAAACATTTGAATAGTTTATTATCCTAAACTTATAACATTTATGTTACAAGTTTTTAAAAATAATAGTATAATCAATTAATAAAAAATGGAATCAAGATCAAGAGAAACTACTCCTACAAAAGAGGATTTAGATTTTATAGTTGATGATGGTTATAGACATGATGAGGATTCAGATTATGTTTCAAAAGAAAAATATGTTGTTACAGGACCAGATTTTAAGATATTAACCAGAAATGCTAAAAAACTTGGTGCTGAATCACTTGATTATTCAACCCGAAAAAATAACAAATATATGGCTACACTTCCAGGAGGAAAGAAAGTTCACTTTGGTTCACCAAAATATCAAGACTACATTATTCATAAGGATAAAGAGCAAAGAGATAAATATCTTTCTAGAGCTAAAAAAATAAAAAATAAAAAGGGAGAATTAACTTTTAATAATCCAGAATCATCAAACTTCTGGTCAGTTAATTTACTTTGGCCTAAAAAATAAAATTTGATTTATGATTTAAAGATTAAATAAATATTAATAAAATGCAGTTGTCAAGTTACGAAAATATTACCCAAGAAAATATTATTTTTAATGAAGCCAAAAAGTACAAAGTAAAAGATAGTAAAATAAAATACAAACGTATCCCAATTGAAGTTAAATACCCAAATGGAAAGAAAGGATCACTAGTAGTTGAATCTCCATTTCTTTTTAGTTTTGGGGTAAGTGAAAAAAAAAATCAAGACACAGGTAAATTGGTTGGTTATAGTATTCCAGTATGTCTTTGGTCTCGCGATAGTGAACCGAATAATAAAGAAAAAGCATTTTTTGATGTTATTAACAATTTAAAAACTTTATCTCAGCAACATTTAGAGAATGAATATGGACCAGATTTAGCATCAACTTTATCTTCACCATTTTACTATAAACAAATAGAATACACAGATAAGAAAGGAAAAAAGAAAACAAAAGTCGATGAATCATCAGCGCCAGTTCTTTACGCAAAACTTATTTACTCAGAAAAATCAAAGAAAATTTTATCTTTGTTTAAGGGAAAGGGAGGTTGTGATTTAAAACCTTTCAACTATATTAATCAGTACTGTAATGTTAAATTAGCATTGATAATTGAAGGAATTTTTATAAGTAAGACTGTAACATCATTACAAATAAAAGTACACGAGTGCTATGTCAAAAAGTTAGAACCTAGAAAGAGTTTACTTACAATTGATGAAAAAAGTAGTGATAGTGATAGTGATAGTAAAGTTGAAGAAATAACTGATAAAGTAGTTGAAGACTTATTTTTATCTGATGAAGAGAAAAACTAAGTAAATAACTATTTTTAATACAAATTTTGTATTAAAAATCAACCAAATCCTTTGAGCTAACCCATGAGTTAAATTTATCAGGATATCCACTCCATTTTACTAATGTCATTTTTTTCTTATTATCTCGTCTGATAATCTTTTCTATTCTAAAAGTCTGCTGTTTTGATTTTTGTAATTCTTGCTCATAAAAAGAACCCTTAATCTCTTCTCCCATCAAATCTACAATTTTATACGTAACAGGTTTTGTAGGTAAAACTTTATCAATAACGAATATTTCTTCTGTCCAGTTTGGTGTGTAGCCTTTATCAAATACTTTCCTCTTATACTTAGAAATTCTAACACGATCACCAATTGAAAACTTTGGCTTACGAGGTTTAAAGTAAATAGATTCACCATACAAATTAGACCAAACTTTACTTTCATTTTTCTTTTTACTTGCTTTAACAGGAGTCATTTTTATACTAGAATGTCTAGCGTTATTGTAATCATCAACTAGTTTTTCTATCTTATCCCAGTAAACAGTGTTGTTATTCACAGTAAACATCTTCCACATTCTGTTTTTCATTGTTTTATTCCATCTCTCAACAACACTAGATTTTTCCTCGTTTTCAGTGTGATACAGTTTAATTCCTTTACTTTTGAGAAAATCTTTAAAATGTTTGCTTATAAATTCGGAACCTTTATCAGTCCATAACATTTGAGGTTTACGTTTACTTTTGAATATGTCATCGAATGCTTTACTTACAGTTTCGGTTTTTTTATCTTTCAAACCTCTAATCCATCCATACTTACTAAACACATCAATAACCATCATCAGATATTTAATTCCTTTATTCCACTTACTAAACTTTTGCATTTCAACTAAATCAGCAGCCCAGATTTCATCAATCCCATTTGATATTACTAATCTTTTTTGAAAGTTTCTTGTGATTGGTTTGTGAAGTTCGTTGGCTAATTGTTGAGACCAATCACTACTCAACGCCGTTTCACTTTTAAACCAAGACCAAGTTTTTGTTTAGTATTAATTAAAAATCTAGCAGTTGACCCCCACTTTGGCATTTCACCATATGGAATTTCATCTAATGATTTTACCATCTCTTTATCACAATCACCTTTGTTTTTTCCCATATCATAACAAATGTCGTGATAAGCTGCTATTTCATCAACTTTGTTATAAGGTTTAACTTTCCATTCTATTACCTTTCCAGTTTCAGGATCATAGCTTAATTGTTTATCAAGAGGATTGTATGGACCCATATATTTGTATGAACCTGGTGTCCATCCTGCTTTTGGTTTTGGAAGTTTTCCAATTACTTTATGTATATCAATTCCTTTTCCATCTAATTCTGGTATATCAGTTTTATACTTTTTATTTGGTCTAACTTTTGTTGACAGTTGATCCATTGCTGTTCCAACAGAATCTTGAATAAATGGGGTGAGTTTATTTATTCCATAATTTACAGCTTTTTTTTGAACGTTTTTATTTCTCATTAACTCACTTGCTCCATATTTACCCATTTCAACTGCTTTTTTACCCATCCAAGGTAAACCGTAATGAACAAAACCATCAACTGCTGTACCAACTACAGTATCAAAGACGCCCGCCCCTTCAGACGGGCTGATTAGTTTTTTGACTTCTTTTTTGTTTTTCTCTTTTTACCACTTCCAGTTTGAGAAGCTGTTCCAGTTTTCACGTATCTAACTTTTTTAATTCCACAAACTGCACAATGACAGAAGAATTGAGTTCTACCTCTTTTATCTTTTTGGTAACCACTTGGCTCTGTGCAAGGAGTTACCATTTTATCTTTAATGCAATATGATTCTTTCATTTTATATAATGTTTATATAAAAATATGTCTACTAGATTTAATTTTGTAAAAAATGAACTTCAAAATATATATAAAAACCTTAACATAAGTTATGAATATGCTGATCATTCTAAATTGGAAAATGATTCTAGATTTATAAAAATATTTGAGTTATTAATGGAAATAAGTGATAAATCAAATACTTTAAGCAATATTATAAAAGGAAATTATCTGTTTATATAGTAAATGGAGGCAAAATTTTTTTCCGAGATAGAAAAAAAGATGGATGTAAAAACACTAAAAGATTTTGAAAAAGAAGTAAGAAAAAAAATATATAATGAGATCGAAACAATTAGAAAGGAAAATGAAAATCTTTCTAGAGTGCTAATGGTTGGTGAAAGTAATATGTGGAAGAAAATTAGAAATGAGGAATATTCATGGTTGCAGTTAAATAGTAATAAAAAGAAGAAACTTTATAGACTTATTGATATTTACTCAAATTTTGTTGAAATAGTTGATAGTGTTAAAGATCTAAATATAAAAGTTGATAGAGTTAAGAAGCTAAAGGAAACACCAGTGGATAGTGAATAAATAAACATTTTGGAGATTAAAAAAATATATATATATAATATTTATTAAATATTATATTATTTATAAAAATTAGGTTTTTATATTTATCCTCCAAAGTATGCTTTTATAAAATCACTATTGTCATCATCAAAATGAGGGTTATGTATTACATCTAAAATACTATTACCCCTCTGTCTCTCAAACAGATAATATAAACACCAGTAACCGCAAAGAACAGTATTACGATTTTGTATTTCATCCATTGAGTAAACTATTCGTTTTCTAGAAGTATGAAAATACTTTAATGCTTCATTTGGCATTATTAGTCCAAATGGATCAAAGTACTCAACAATATTATCTATATTTCTATAACAAACCCAATGAGTGCCAGGACCAATCATATCATCTAGATTAATTATTCCACATTCTTTTCTAATCTTTTTTGGTAGTCCATCACGACTATATATTCCTCTAAAATGTTTAATACCAAGTTTCTTTACCCAATCCATAAGGTCAAAGTTGGATAGAGGTTTAATTACAAAATTGCCCCTATTAATGGAATTGAGTTGAATGGGCTGTTTTTTCCTAGTAGTAGTCCTTTTCCTTTGGATTTGGACTTTTTTTTTTTAACCCCCATTCCAATTGGATTGTTCCATGTACCGATAAAGGGTGGTGGGTAATAAGGATAACCTTCTCCATGTGTGGATGGAGGAGGATGTGGAACGTAAACATTTGCTGTATTAGATGATCCTCGTCTATCAACCTGCAGTCCAGATCCAAACATTTTACATACTAAACTAATTGCCATTGGAATTCCAATAGATGCAAGAGTTCCAAGAAATCCTCCTTCTATCTGTTTACGAGTTGGTTTTATAACTAATCGCCCTCCTGTTTGATAAGCTTTGTTAATTTGATTTATTTGTGATTTGGTAAATTCTCTTACAAGAGGTGGTAACATTGGGAAAAACTGTGGGGGAATTGTGATTCCTTTTCCAAATATTTTATTTAATCCAATTTCTCCAAGTGCAGTAGCAGCACCAGTAGCCAATGCAGGAACAACTTTTGAAACTCCTTTAATTGCGTAAGGTAGTACTTTTGCTCCAAGAGATGCGAGTGAGGAAAATAAGTTTCCACCATGTTTTACAGAACGTCTAATCTGTGTTTTACTTATCTTTATATCTGATCCTGTGCCATTTGCAATAGATTTTTTTATTTTAGAAATTTGTCTGCTGGTTAACATTAACTCATCAGAACCTTGAAGATGTTCATGTTTTAACCGAAGAGTTAGTGGTGATTTATTTAATATTGCAGAAGCCAATTTTGACTTTTGTCCATCTGTAAGTTTTACTCCGTATTCAATATAAGTTGTCATTTTTATTATAATATTTATATTAAATTTTGTTTTGGTTTTATTTCAGTTGGTGGTTAAGTTTTTAATTAGTTTGGAAATGTTACTGGTGTGATATAAAATTGCTTTTTTAATTAAAACCTTCTAGAAGGTTATCGTGTGATTTTTTTCAACCAATCAAATGATTACACCTCATTCTATAACGCTTGTATAAATTTCTGTGTAAATCATAACAGACGCCATAAATTTCTGTGTAATAATAACAGACGCCATAACAGACGCCATAAATTTCTGTGTAAATCATAGAAGAAGCCATAAAATTTTGTGTAAGTAATCATGCCTTATACTTTGAAACAGTTAGAATTGAGAAGGGATTCTTGTATTAAGAAAATACAAGAATTAAAAGCATCAGCTGAAGATAAAGGAGCTGAAGAAATTGGGAATTTGAATTTTAACGCTATTGGATTTTTCCATGGTTTATTTGAAATGCGTTTAGAAGACATCGATTTATTTTTATCATTTTTTCCTCGATTTCCTGAAATATTGGAGTGTACACGTAAAGCTGCAAATGAAAAAAGAAGAAGAAGTTTTGAAATACAAATTGAAAACATGCAGAAGGAAAAAGCAAAGAAATTTAAACGTATATTAGAGGAAGAGGAAAAGCAAGAACGAAAGAAAAGAAAACGCCTGAGGATGCTGACAGGTGCTACTGGTTCTGGGGAAGGTACATCACAAACAATGAACTGAACTATCATTTATTTGAACACTAGTTACTCAAGGATTAAGCACGAATCAATAGTTTTCCATTTTGTTGAGATATTTCTGCTTCCGTTTCGTGAAGTACCAGAGCGTAAACATTGTAGTTTGCTGCAGTTGTTCCAGATAACTCATAATGAAATGAAAGTTTTGTCACCCCATCTTTTATGTCTAGTTTTTGCTTGGTTAAATCAAAATATACAAACGGAAAGAGATTTTCAAAATTAGTTCTATTAAGAAGAGTACCTCCTTGAAAAATCATTGTTAGCATAAACATACCCCATTACATCTCTAAAAACTCTTGAAGGTTCTGTTGAAGGTTTGTAGTGAATATCAGGATATTCATTTCCATTTCCTACCTCAAGATAGCACCTTTCAAGAGTCCTTGGATCTGTAGAAACACTGAAAGTATTATATAGGAATGGATTTTCTGTTTGTGTATCTATGTTTGGTGTGTTAATTATAAAAACAAATAC